TCTCGGGAAACAATTCAATTCTAAAATCCCATCTCGAGATGATCCTCTAGAGAAACAATTCAAGTCTAAAATTCCATCTCGAGAAAGTAACAACCATCTCATAGGTTGAATTACCTTCTAGTGAAGTAGCTATATTGATGAAATTCTTCGTCACCAGATTGTGAAGATCCTCGCCAGCCCAGATGGGATACACACATATGTTCACAGCTAAAGAAATACTAGCTCCAAGTACAATGAGCAAAAACCGACTAACAGCTGTTTCAATAAATTCTCTTGTGTGATAGCCAGATACCATGATGAAACAATACGTTATCAAGAAAACTCGGAAACCATATTCATAGGGCTTCATTGCTGGGTACTGCTTTGCATATGTAATAAAAAAACCTACAAACACCAAACAAACTTCAATCAGCAAGGTACAAATATAACAAAGAGATGAACATCAATTCACACATATAAGTCATGAGTACTGAACGAAAAACCAGACCTGTCATGAATATACCAATGATTATAACAACTTCTTCCCAGTCTCCAGCCAACTGAGACAACTCAGCGATTGCAAGTGCAAGTCCTCCAGCTGATAATGTCCCAAGCCCACGATTAAACCCTTTACTTAGAGTGGCTCCTGTGGACAGTTCAAAACATGTATATGTAAAAAAAAAAGTTCCCATACAAAGTTATACAGAATACAAATAAATGCCAATCTTTAATCCCAAAAATGAAAAACAAAATAAATGTTAGGGCCTACTTCTATCTGGGAAATTAAAATTAAAATATTGACTTGTTCAAAGCTTTTAAGTGCCTTCTATACAGTCACAATAAGTATAAAAACAATTTTTCTTTCGTATTACAACTAAGATTTACAATCAACAAACAGAGATCAACAAAAAAAGGGAAAAAGTGCAATACTTACCAATACTGAACTCAAAAACCACGACAACAGTAAGAATAGCCCATACAGAGTATTTACCAAGCTCTTTAACCGCCGGTTCCTTAAAGAAGATAAACAAAGACATAAGAATCAATGCCAAACCCATCTTCGCGGAGAAGATGATCTTTCTCGGGTCGGTTCGACCCATCTCCATCGCCTTCACGGATACTCTTTTCCAATCCTTCCATAGCTCAGAAAACTTCTCCCGGAAAGAAGAACAACACCCAGAAGTTTCTTGGTAATCAAGACTGTGCGGGAAACCAGGTAACTCAGTGTAATCAACACCGTTGCATAAAGAAAGAAGACGTTCTTTTACTCGTCTGTCTTCAAAACTCTTCCTGAAGGAATTCGATTTCCTCACCATTCTTCTCCTTCCGATAATATGGGGAAAGTCTAGAAAACTGACGAAGAGTACCCGGAGAGAACGGGATACTGTGACAGTGAAGAATGTGAAAAAAGAATTTGTTTATGTTGACTGCTATACTTATACGACGTCGTAGATATGGTGATTGCTAACCCTTATTAAGCCGCGTGGAGATTGGTAGGACCGGACTTTTCTCTTTCAAACGAATCAGCTATTGGGCTGCTGCCGTGGGGGCCCATGTTTGGTAATTTCGTGAAATAGCTACTCTTTTTCCGTTTTCTTGTTTTCTTCTGTTAGCCCCTCAGTCTTATATTATTTGTTATAAACAAGTTTGTAAGATTTTAAAATAAAATTGCAGATATTAAATTTTGTGGGATTCCATAAGGCATGTTCAATTTGAATTGAGACTCTAAAATGTGTGTACTCTAAAAGGTGTGTTCAGTTTTAATTAAATTTTTTGGAAATTATTCAACCCTAAACTCTAGTTCATGCCTATATAAACGATATTAAATTCCTTTAAAAGGTATCTCGAATATTTCGCAATTGATGGAATATTCATATAGAGGTCAAATCTAAATCGTTCGAGAAATACGTCACTAACGACGATCGAATCATGGATAAATCTTAGCTAGGAGAGTAGAATCAATTATAGATAAATCTTAGCTAAGAGAGTAGAACTAAGGGGAGGAACATAATTATACCCGCAATTAAAAAAATTTATTTATAATTTTTAAAAAGGTGTGAAAAGAAAAAAGGATAACTAATAGGATTAAAGGGAATACCTTCCTTTTTCTCGGAGAAAATTTAGTTAATAGAGTTACTATTGCACTTTTTTTTTAAAAAAATACCCATTTTTGATATATATTAAGACCTGGCAGTATTTTGATTTGAAAAGATAGTTGAATACATGTACTTGTGTGCATACAATATTTCATTTTATCGTACATGTACGTGTGACTAACTATATATGTATGCAATTGTTTTCAAGGAAGACGACATTGGAGGCAATTTTTCAAATATGTGGATTGAGATCACTAGTTCAAATAATTTTTTCTTTTATCTTATAACAATAGTAGTAGAAATTGATTTTTTACTCGCTTTTCAATTTATAATATATTTTAGATGTTTCAAAACATTTATCACTATTTTCTCAAGTATTACATGTATTCATTCTTCACTATCCACTAGCCATATATATATATTGCTCCCTTCATATGATGATTGTATATTAGTTAGGTTTATATAATGTAGAACCATAAAATAACTCTAGTTAAATTTGTTTGCACTAATCAGAAACGAGCTGTCAATTTAACTGAGGCACATACTTATTTTTTGTGCGTCTAAAATATATTGTTTTACCTTTTCAGCAAACAAAGGGTCTTATATATAATATACTGATATACAACAAACATTTTAGGCAAACATCATGTAAATTTTGAGTGCTAACAATAATGAATAATCACACCTTATAAATGATTGTTGGGCGACCTCTAACGTAGGCACGTCTTTCTTGAAAGTTATCAACTTGACAAATGAGTGCTAATTATGAATGATAATTGATAGCATAGGAAAACTCAGAATTTGTCATTATCTTTTAAGATGAGATATAAAATTTTATATAATAATATATTGGTGAGCAAAAGATAATTATTTACATGTTTCAACTATTATTTCGCGTGTTCTGCTTTAGATATATATGTAAAATATATAAGGAAGGCTATTTGAGGAGAAAGAAGACAAAAAAAAAAAAAAAAAAAAAAAAAAAAAAAAACTTCAATCCCTTGACTTGAAGGAGTTAAGCTCGTCGCTCAACCAATGCACTACTAAATATATTACAAGTATTATACAAATAATGTATCGAATTTTATCAAATGGTCACGAATTTCATGACCCTTTTTTTTTAACACATAAATTCGCCACTGAATGATACTCCCTTTGTCCCTAATAATTACTTGTCCATATTTCCTTTTTTAGTTGTTCCTAATTACTTGTTCATTTTGACAAATCAAGAAAGGATAATTTTTTTATTCTATTATACCCTCAATTAATTACTTTGAAAAGTAGAACTTTTTGAAATATTAAGTTTTTAATTCATCTACTTCATAATTAATAGGGATAAAATGGTAAACTAACTATTTCAATTATTGTTTTCTTAATAGATGTGTCAATTTAAAAGTGAATAAGTAATTAGGTACAGAGTGAGTAGTATATATAACAAACTTATAAGATCCTTATAAGTATATAGTGGGTTGGGGGTTGTGGATAGGTGGGATGGAGGTGGGGGATATGAAATTTACTTTGTATATTAGTTCTATAGCATTATGGAACTGAATCTTGAATAATTGATCACAAAGCATCAATCTGATGATCACCACTTAATCATTCTTGTTTTTAACTTTAATGACCACGATTATCTTGAAATTTTGTACTCTCTTCGTTTCACAAAGAATGACCTCCTTTCCTTTTTAGTCAGTTTCAAAAAAATGACCTCTTTCCTTTTTTGGTAACATTTTACTTTTTGTTTTCCACGTGGCATGTTTAAGACCACAAGATTAAGGGCAATTTTGTACATTTGGCATAACTTTAATTTAGGACCACAAGATTCAAAAGTCTTCTTTAATTTCTTAAATTTTGTGCCAAGTTAAACCAGACCAATCTTTTTGAAACGGAGGGAGTATAAATTAACACTTATCCTATTTTGTAAGCCGCACTTTTGACACTATACTTTAGTACAATCTTTCAGGCTTGGCCTTTGGATTAGGTTGAAAGTCAGTCTATAAAAATATATAACTGTTTTTCTTTACTTATATTGAATAATGTAACTTTAAATATTTTTGATCGAGTGGTCAAATATATAACTATTCTTAATTTTCTTTAATTTGTCGTTGTCATATAACACATTTCATGTTTTTATTACCCCATAAAAAGCGATTGATAAAATTGTCCTACCATATTTAATTATAGTTAATACTTGTATAACAGAACGTTAGGTAAGCTCCTTATATGATTTTTAAAAATTAAAGTAGATGGTAGGTCCAAATTAAAGTTTACTTGTTTCGTGTTACTGCATGAAAATAACGTTTTAATACATTTATTGAACTTATAGATACATCACTTTCAACCCCAAAGAAACTTATTAGCGGGTGTGCAAAATGCCAAAACTTGTTATTCAATTATTATATATTCCAATTGAACACCTCAATAAGCACACCGACTTTAACAAACGCATTGGAATTTAGTTGAATTTGTTTTTCTCTTCGAGTAACTTCAATTGGAAAAAAAAAACGTACAAATAAATTTTTAATCCAAAGCCCAAAAAAAACCAACCAAGTCCATTTTCTTTTATAAATCACAGTGGCTAGGCCAGTCTGCATGCTCGTTTACTATTTCATGGAATACCTGTCATCTTTCACCAGCAACAAATACCAGATTATAACTTTGTCCATCAAATCTAGAAAATATGAGAAGAAATCACCAAATTTCTTATTTGTGTTAAAAATTAAACTTAAAACCTCATGAATCTCAATTCACTTCATTAATAACTAGGCAACACCTTTGATAATTTAATTAAGTCCAAATCGAATTACGCCTTCAATAAATGAGTTTAACTTCTAGAAATATAATTCTTTTAACCATAGATTAAGATGGCCTACATTAACAAGTATAACTTTCTATAATGATGATCTAATTTGGTACTATAGAAAATAACAAGTTAAAATGCACTAGAATATCCAAAAAAAAACAAACAATTACACTGTCAAAGTTTCCATCCACAGTAAATCAATAATTATACAAAATGGAATGATCTAAACCCACTGGGCACTAGAAATTAATTCTAAGAAGATGAAAAAGTTATTATTACAAAGATGCAATTATGTTTTTGATTAGCGGTAAACTTGAAAGTACATGTGTGGTTGTGGATTTTGTGATGTTACATATGTTTCTGTCTCAACTTGGTTGTCAGAAGAAGTTATTAAGGGCATTTCCTCTTGCTTTGGTTCATCATTGCCACTTAAATCTTGTATCTCCAATATTTCAACTCTCCTATTTGTCTTCTTTCTTATTTTTATTGCCACATCTTGTGGTATGAAATTCCCACAAACAATTACTCTGCTGTGATTTTTCTCTATGAATCTTGTCTCCAGCTCTTCAATCACAACATTTCAAGAAAAATTCAGAGTCTTTCTTATAAACGTAATCAAACTAATAGTACGTTTGACCAATCTTACAATAGTACGTTTAGTTTGAAAAGTACTTTTTGTTAGAAGTAATTTTTTTTAAAAAAAACACGTTTATCAATATTAGAGCAATAATTTGTGTTTGATCAAGTTTCAGAAGCTTGGTCAAACAAACTATAAAATCTAAAAATCATCGATTAATTACCTGGTATCGTGAGAAGTGCCCGACTTACTTTCATGTAACATCCTTTGCAGTCTATGTTAATCCTCATCACCATGCAACACAACTGCAAAGAAGGAGGAGAGAAAAAGAAAAATAAATCAAGAACCAGAGGCGGATGCAATCTTTGTGTAACGAATTCAACTGAATCTAATACTTTCAACACGGACATATATGTAAAAAAAAACAGCACTAAATTTTCAACAAATGATAAATATTGATCTCATATTTTCAAAGGTACGTACAATGAGTTCAACACATGAGAACCTATCATGTCTAAATTATAGATTCGTTTCTATCAAGGACCCCAATATTTTACCTTCTGAGTCATGAAGAAAGGAAGATTTTCTCTTTGAGATAAAAAGAAAAATGCTAGAAAGGAAATGATGGATTTCTATGAATTGGAAAAGATTATGGATTGTTCATTTATCTTCTTTTTTTTATGTCTTATTGACTGATTGGGAATCTGATTCCTGCCTAACAAGCATTTGCACATTTTAGGTAGTTAATTTATTCATTCATTATTCTTAGACTTCTCCTATTGTTCTTATACAAACATGCCTCGTTGCCTAAAAAAAGCATCACTTTTTTGTTCTAAAAAAAAGGGCCTACATATGTTTTCAATTAATTAAAGGCATCTCCTTTTTGGTGTCTAAATATTCTTATTCTAAAGTTGAAACTCTTCCCTTCCCCACACTTTTACCTTTCTTTCCAAGAATCTATGTATTCATTTCCTTAGCTTTTAAACAAGTAAGCTTAAAAAGTGAGTGAATCTATTCTTGATATTTTTACATTATCTTAGTTCTTGGTGCTATCCACCTCAGACTTCGATTCGGATATAGACTTTTTTGACGAAGAAGTGTCAATTGACTCTCATTGAACAAGGGTAGGTTCTAATTCAGTCACCACTATAATTGGCGGAAATTAACTGGCTGCTGCATCAATTCCAATATTTATAGTACAAAGAGATGCTAGTTTTATAAAGTACTACTTAATTAGGGTGAGATTTGATTATCATTATTGTCAATTTGTCATAATTAATTATTGTTCTGTTATCTTGAGGTGCTATATACTCTGTATCATCCACTTTTTTTTCCAATTATGATTAACCCCAAATGCTAATTATGTGAAGGTAGTGTGATAGATGCCATCATCAGCCCTTTTACTGTACCATTCATTGTGATTGTCCTTCAACTTGAAGCCATTTTTTTTTTCCTCAAGAGATAGTAGTAATAAGTAAAATAATTACACATTTTGCTGAATGATAAAAGCATGGAGCGTCTTTATCATAACATTTGGTTCTTTGACTAGGCAGATATGAAAAATAAGATTTGTGTGAATGTATGGTAATTAATTTGTTATTTCCACACTCAATGTATGCTGCACTTCACACTAACTTTGATTATTTACTCCATTTAAGAGTCCATACAGTAATAGAAAACCAATTTCAGCTACTTATTCTAATTTCTTTAGTATACTAAAGTGTTCACAGCATGGCTTCTACTACTGTTCTTATTTTTTCACTTCTATTTGTTTTTGTACCTACAACCCTTTCACAGACCTTTGGTAACTTATCTGCAGGGCCCACCGTGTCGTCGTGTGGGCCACTACTGCTTCGATTGGCTCCCTGTGGACCGTTTGTGCAGGGCGCATCGCCATCACCGACTGAGCAGTGTTGCAGTAACCTCAGGCAACTCTATATCCAGCAACCAGATTGCCTTTGCCTGTTGCTCAATCAAACTGGCATCAGCACTCTTCCTATCAACACCACATTAGCACTTCAATTGCCACTTCTTTGCAGTATGCATGTTGACAATGATACCTGTTCAGGTATGTAACAGTAGAGATCAACATAAATTATTACGCCACATAACTCAATATATAATATTATACTTGGGAGAAAACATTACATAATGTATCAAACTTGTATAAAGTGTATCAAAATATGGGGTACGTGACTTAAATATTTCCCCCAGTAGACATATAGTGTAATTTTCTTGAAAAAAAAATCCCTTCTTTAAAGTTCAATAATGTGTTATTCATTCATCCAATTTCTGTATTTTTAGGTTCTGAAGGACTGGCTCCTAGGTCATCAACGCCTCAAGTTTCATTCGAGACAAATAACAATTCATCTGTTGCTGGTATGAACTTTTTATACTGTTGCGTAACATCACAATGTTTCTACGTGTTTGTTCAAAGTTTTTGCCTTTTGTGACTTGCATTACAGCTTCGCCGATGGTGACAGTACCACCTAAAACGTCCAGCACTTTGGGATTTGGCTTTAACAACAGCTCTGCTGTAAACTTCAACGCGAAGGAGAGCTTGATGATCATCACAGTGCTAACTTCTTGGGGTGCATTATTCTGGTTCTAGCCGTTGTTTCCATATTGTTTGTCTAGTCATTATTTAGACTTGAACTTTAGCTCAGACATAATATGTAGCAAGTAGAATATGCTTCAGTACAAGTTATTGTTCTATCACAGATTAGTTTGTCCACACATTTTAAAACTAGTTATTCCCCTGACCTTTTTTTCCAGAATCATATGCCAATTTAATAGCATATATATATGCCAATTTAACAGCATATATATATGCCAATTTAACAGTAGCATATCTTTAAATCTGTACTAATGACTATTCCCTGTGACATTTAAGGACAATTATACTAGAAGTATTGGTGCCATATTCCCTTTGAAGTAACCTACAAAAGTTCCAAGTTCTATTCGTGTTTTATCACATCACAGAACAAGAAAGTCGCCTTATAGGTTTAAATTAGTGAAGTCAAATATTCACTATTTCTGCAATGCTCTGAAGTGCCTCAATGAAGTGGTTCACCTAAACATGAAAATGGAACTTATTTTATGTTTCAAACCAAGACAGTAAATCATATTGTCCGCTATCATCCATCAGGCCTCACAAATTTCCCTTCATACTACGTTATTAACAAGCCCAAAAGTGTCCCTCGGGATGGCTCAGTTTGTTTGGAGGGTGGTTATCCACACGGATGACCGGGATCGATCCCCCCTCAATGCCTTCTGAGTTAAGCCTATCGCATAGTGCTTGCCTAGTGCGGTTTACATTCCCCGTGTGGTTTGCAGGCTATACATAGTGAGGTTGTAGCGGTTGCGGGTTATCCTGGAATTCCAAAATATAATAATCCCAAAGGCGCATGTACTCAGGTGTATACTCAGGCTATACACAGTCAGTCAGGTTATAGTGGTTGTGGATTAGCCTGGGATTCCAAAAAAAAGAAGAAGCCCAAAGGCGCCTGTAGTCAAGTGTATACTCTGGCTATACACAATGAGGTTGTAGCAGCGGTTATGCGTTATCCTGAGATTCCAAAAAAAAAGAATCTCAAAAACGCCTGTACTCAGGTATATACACAATGAGGTTATAGGGGTTGCGGAATATCCTGAATTTTTTTTAAAAAAAGAAGCCCAAAAGGCGCCTGTACTCAATTCGATGTCAGTCTTAAGTCTTCAAATCTTTGTCTTTCTCATAGACTAGTATAAGGAAGATCTTAAGGGGTCCAAAATGTCACACACGATTCAAGATAACACTATACAATTACCCAAAATTGAAATGGTATTAGGATTGTTTATTCAATTCCTAAAAAAATACACGATGCATGCTCTGCTTCAACCAAAAAATTATTGATGTGAAGTTGAATTTTAAGAACATAACAGGGTCAAAAGAACTCACCGCAAAGACAAGGCCACAAGTACATACAACACAAAGAATCCAAAAGCAACACATGCAATGAGGATTATAAATTAATTTGATATGGTACAATATTTTAAAGTATTGATTTAAGTTTTTTACTATTTATAATAAATTGATAATTATAGATGATTCGATTTCAACTTACATACAAAAGCAACACATGCAATGAGGATTATAAATTAATTTGATATGGTACAATATTTTAAAGTATTGATTTAAGTTTTTTACTATTTATAATAAATTGATAATTATAGATGATTCGATTTCAACTTACATACAAAAGCAACACATGCAATGAGGATTATAAATTAATTTGATATGGTACAATATTTTAAAGTATTGATTTAAGTTTTTTACTATTTATAATAAATTGATAATTATAGATGATTCGATTTCAACTTACATACATTCAATAAAGAGTGACAGTTCCGGCGGCAAGTACTGTTAAAATCTCAATTATATATACTAATAACACTTACCATATAAAAATATTTAATAAAAATTACAAACAATTTCTATCACTAATCAATTGCGCAAAAAAAGACATTTTAAATAAAATATAAGAGTAATAAAAAATTTCAAAGTTAATTTTATACTATGACTAGTTACTACTCCTATAATAATAATATGTGAAATATATATTGAAAAATTGCAATATCAAATTTTTTGTATTTTTAATATGATATTCGATGTGTACCCCATCTCTCTCCTGCCTACTTCTATTTAGTACAGTATCTTTTATCAGATCGATCGCCTACCTCTCACACATCACACTATCTTAGCTTCATTTTCCACATTCTTGACCACCACAAAAGTGTCTAGGTTTATCTTTATACATCTTATACCCTGTATAACTTCATTTATTAATTTTATCTCTTTGATTTACACACACATCCATTAAACATATTCATTTATTCAATTTTTATTTTGATATAAAAATTCTTTGACTAACGAAACACTTCCTATAATTCAACATAATTGATTGATCTCAACTACTACTTTACATATCACATAACACTAAATCCGAACCTCCCTTGTTATCTAATCTCGTTCCAATACGATGTATCATATCATTTTTATTCTTATTACCTTGAAATTATAACACCAAAATACTTCAAATTTTGCCCCTTGCTGAGACTTGGTTGTGTATCACATAAATTATATAACCGTAATTCTTTTTAAAAGAGACTAAAGAGGAAAAAATATCACTTAATTTATACCAAGGAATTAATACAACTCAAAGGAAAAAATCAATTTGAAATTTTGTTTCCTCATATTAAAATAGAATATAAAATGATTAATATTATAAAATAGGAACTGGCCTCCAAGCTCCGGGTAGTCGTGTATATATTTGACAAATAGCGCTGGTCAGATAAACAGAAATGATATATGTTTGTTCTTAATTTATTAGCTTCAATAATTAATGGCGGGAAATCAATTCAGTTGTTTATTGCAATTTAACATCGATTCTCTAGAATTCAGATTTGAGTTCAAATGAGCAAATTCCCTTTAAAACTCCAATTTCTAGACTCTGAAAACATTTGATTCTACAGTATGAGCTTCCTATTTATATCTTCTGCTTTCTGGTTTTCAGATGTACAAACTACGCTACCATTCACAAAACCTACGTAGAAATTTCATCATTTCATAGAGCGGGTAAGGATTCCTGCCGCCATGAGAAATCGGAAAAATCCGACGGCTCAGGATAATCAAACAATCCTCCAACTGTCACAAAGTCGCCGTTGCTGTTACCGATGTCATTATCTCCTACCCTAGCCTCGTGGTCCATGCCGAAGTCAAACGTGTCGTAATTAGGCATTTCGTCCTCAAAACAAGTCATATTCGCAAATTCAGCGGCCTCCGGCATGACAGTAGATTCGACGTTAACCTTTTCGTCGGTCGGGGATGTTGTGGGAGGGAGACCGAGCTCATCGTCCGACGCCTCGAGGAGGTATCCGAGGTCCGGTTGTGAGTCGCCGGATTCTGATGGAGTCAGGTCAAGGACGGTTTGTGTGTCGTTCAGAGGTGAGTGGTGAAGGATCTCTTCCTCGAAACTCTTCATGACAGAGTCCAGATCCTGAATCTCCGGCGGGCATTCCGTCAGAGCGTCAGGCTCATCTAAGATATCCAATATATCTTCTCTTATCTGCTTAGCCTCCGGTGAATCCAGGTACACATCTGTTTGCACGTCATTCGATTCCGGCGAGTTTGAACGGTTGGGACTCACTCCCGACTCCGAGTCGATTCGGCTCAACTCGGACGAGTCAGGACCAGTCTCAACCTCTGCGTTAACTCGCTTGGACTCAGGCGAGTCACCAGCTGAGTCCAATCCTGACTCAACTCGGGACCGCTTGTTACCGTTACTGTTATTATTCTCAGTTTTCAACTCTTTTTTCATGATGTGAAATTTCTCAAAGGAAAAGTTGATTATAAAATTTAGAATAGGACAACAGGATGATTAGAAATGAGATGGTGGGGGCTTGTAGGGGAAAGTACAGTAGGTCTAGTCTACAATTTTTCTAATGCCTAGAGAGAGAAGCAAAATTGAGTTGTTTTGCTTTTGATAGTTGCAAGTCCTTGTTTGAATTTTGGGTAAAAGAGAGAGGAGGAGAATTCGAGAAGCAATGTAGTTGATAATGGAGGGGAAGATTGTTTATATAGTGGGAGAGAATAGGAGGGGGGCCAAAGGGTGACAGCGATAAAGATTTGGTTTTGTGTGCATGAGAGAGAGAGAAGGGGAGAAAGGGAACAAAAGATGCTGCTTTCAGGTTAAGATGCAAAGGCGTAGGGAAGTGGAGGTGGCAATTATAATCTAATCTAAGTACCGTTTGGCCAGGAAAAAAAAAGTGTATACTCCCCCATTTAAAAAGTGATTATCTAATTTTATTTGGTATGAAATTTATGAAAAATAAAGAATTTTTTTAATATTATAATTTTATATTAAATTATGTTTTAATCTTCTAGCTTTGAATCTGCAATATAGAAAATTGAAATTAGAGTATTATAAAAAAAAAATTTGTTCTCTTTTTCATTTTTTAATTAGGGGGGATTATTTTTTCAGAAAAATTATATAGCGAGGGTAAAAAAACTTGTAATACACCCAAAAAAAAAGAAAAGAGGTTTCTATGTTTATCAAGCTATTAAAATATATATTTTTAAAACTATTTATTTTAATTTAATTTTTTTTTAAGTATATTGATAAAAAAAATTATGTGTTTGACTAATTGATTTAAAAAATGTTTTTTAAAATAGTAATTAGTGGTCGACCAATTACTTTTTAGTTTTTACCTTCTAAAATAATTTTTTACAGTATTACTCTTGAAATTACTTATCTTTTCTTTAAAATTTAGTTAAATACCTTACTTTTTAAATTAAGCATTTATAGCCAACCAAAATTTGACCAAACGGCCATTCATATCAGAAAGTTTGAACGTATAAATTTCTTATTAATTGCTAGTACTAGTAATTCTGATTAATTGCTAGTACTAACCGTAATAGCCGCCTAGGGTAGTGAATAGGTTTTTTTTAAAATTAATTTGAGTTCTCATATGAAGTTTTTTAATATAAATGTTATTTTTCATGAGTTCCTATTTGATGAAAATTCAAGTTAATTTGACTGTAATATAAATATCAAATATCGAGGAAAACAAAAAAAAGTTACTTTAATTTGTTAATACTTTTATAAAGTTTTTTTTTTTTTAATATAGCCTCTCCATTAAAATTTATCTATTCTAAATTCCCATAGTATTAAGTCGTATACGATGAGCAGCACTTTCTATCCAATTTTTTTAATGGAAGGAGAGAGTATTATGAGAGAGAAAGAGAGGTGGATACATTTTTTGTTTATTTCTAATTACGTAATACTTCAAGGAAGTAAAGTAGGAAGGGAGGTGGGATGGGAAGATGTTGACAGGCGCGTGTTTGGCAGATATCATAATGTAAGTCATTTTTCTCCATCCAATCCTCCTACCATCACGTTTTCACGGACATTTTGCCTTTTTCTTTTTTTCTTTTCCTTTATTTAGTTGGATTTGAATTCTCTTTTTTCCTGTCTCATCCATTTTTGGTGTCCATTCGTTTTAATTTTAATTTCAGTTCCGCATTTCAAGTCCGTCTCCGGGCCCACCCTTTTCGGAGGGAAAATATGTCTCTTTCTCCCTACTTGTCCGTCCTCTTTCTGCAAGCTGCAGCTGGCTCCCACACCTTCATAATAGATGTGTGTTTGTGGTTAACATTTTTGTAACTGCAACTTAGCTATAAAAAATAAATATTTTAAAATATTTGTTGATGGACAATAATTACATATTTAGAAGATTAAAATAACCTCTTTTCTTTTTAATAAAATTTTTATTTTAACTTTTCATATTATATATTTTGATATATTTGATAAAAATTTATTTTAGATCACAAAATCAAAAAGACTTTTTTATTTTTTAAATTGTGTATCAAATCAAACTAAATTATACTTTTGATTCGGCGAATACCATGTGTACCCAATCTAATCTAATTTATGGATGTCAAATAGGTGATTGGGCTAAAATTGGGTGGACAAACATGGTGTAGCTAAAATTTTAATTCTATAAGTTTTAAATTTTAAAATAGTTACTATGTATTTGACTTGGCCCGAATTCATAGCTAGACTTTTGGCTTTACCCTTTTGTGGGTGGATAAATAATCACATTATTAATTCATTCGAAAGTTATTTGAGCTGGAAGAGTTTAAATTTAAATGAGCTAAATAACAGTTAAAATTTGTCAATCCAATTAATAGTAAATATTAATTATTATTGTTTAGTACTTACTTTTGTGAAAATAAAAAAGTTGTTTACAGTGAAGTTTCGCTCAAATAAAGCGTATAAAGACTAATAAAAAAGGTATACCTTCATCATTTTTAATTGTCATGGTTTCTTTTTTAGAGTCAAATTATAAGAACTTTGAGTATCATTTCATGAAAAAATTACAATTTATAGTACTTTTCGTATAGTTTATCTAAATTTTTTTATAAATTGTAATTATTATTTTTGACCAAAATTATAAGCAGCTTCGAAATGTTATTTACACCTTTCTTTTGATATTCTAATAAAGAAATGTACCTATGAAAACAACTCTCTTTGTCGAGTTACTAACAAGGGTTATCCTAATAAGTTTTTCTTTATTTTTAATTAATTAGAGATTTTGAATTTAAATTCTCATGTGTAATTTAAATTAATTCAAACTCTAAATATGAATATCGAATAACAAAATACGTAGTCGTATTATTAGTTTTATATGTCACGCTTTATATAACAATTTCTCACAAGTCGCGATGCATTATCAAAACGAAATGATTATCTTTTAAGCAATTTGTAAATGGTTATTTAAGTTTATATGTTTTTTTTGTGCTCATGACGTGTTCTTTGCGCTTTCCTTGAATTTCATTGGTTTTTCTTGTACATTTCACTGTCCTCTTTGTTTATTTCTTCCTATGAACAGACTCTTTTAACCTTCTCTTTTATTTTTTTTCTTCTGGATCTTCCTATGGGACTGACTAACCCAGTAAAAGTTAATAAGGGAAATTAAACCCCACCAATTCATTTATAAACTTTGAAATATTTTGACGTTCAAAAGTAAATTTCTCACCAACAAATTGTGTTTCAAATCCACTGGCGTAAAGTAAACGGAACACCTACTAATTTTGTAGGCCTCACGTCTATTTCACCAGCAGGAAAAATCTACTTATTTTTTGCCATGTAGTCCAATTTTTTACGAGTTCATTTGAAGGATAATTATTATTTGTAGAGGTTCATCGTGTCTATACATATTCATATGTATACAACGAGAAAAAAATTATTAGTTAGTATAACTTATAATAAAAATACAAGATGAGAATTAGCGAATATTTAATCGAATTTTGAATAACTTATCATGAATGATAGGAAAAAAGAAAAGTGATACTTAGATTCTCAAGTTTTGATAAATGCTTTACTATTCATGTTATTCTAAAGCTTGGAATTTAGATGTCTTCAGCACTTGAACACCAAAAAGATATTCCAAGTATTGAATAATTTCATTTAGCGTAACGACTTTTAATAGTCCTTATACGAACCTTGACCTTTGGTGAGATAAGAGGAAAAGAATCTTTGACAAGGTCGAAATTGCTTCGACCAAGTTATCCGTTCGTGGTTTGGTATCAGCAATATAAAGAAAGAATTCAATTTATTTATATTAATATATATTTTAAATAAAGAGGAAAAGTGAGGATAGAGATGTAGATGTAGGGGTATTGGATGGTGGGTACGATAGCTTTGAAGTATTTTTGTGCAATTTGTTCGTATTTGGTATTTTTGTTATTAGTTATAGTGCAATTTGTTATTTACATTTTTGTTAGAACTGATTTTTTTAAAGAAAATATTTGAGAAAATTGTTCCTTCCTGTCTAACACACCCAATATGATAACCAGTGACAGAATAATGATACCCTTTTATTGTGAAATTTCTATTAAACAAATTTATGTTTATATATATTATTTGATAAATATTTGTAATTACTTCATAAATTTTGCTGTGAAAATATTGAATCCACTGATAAAATTATTTTCATATCCAATATTACAAAATTAATTAAACTGTAAATATAGAAGAGTTGAAGTAATCATTTTCCTTCAATTTAACAAACAGGAAATTTCCATGGCATTTCCAGTTTTCCACCGAAACTATAGAACAGAAAAAAGAGGGATGACGTAATACTGAAATTATTGATGAAATTTTGAAGCTTAGAGTAGAAGTAAAGACTTTCTTTTCTAATTCTAGGGTGTACGAAACAAAATAAAACGGTACAATTTGAAATTTCAGTTGAGCAACGTGTCATGTCTCAGTGAGCTAGTAAATCGTGGTCCCACTGGAAAATTCCTACCCTATTTTCTAAAGGGTAAATAAATTCTATTTATGGTGCGGTGCCCCACTCTTTCCAGTAATCTAACAAATGGGCCCCATGCTATTACCATGTCCTTATTATTTGGTTCGAAAGTGATTAGAGTATAATGCGCAAGTTTATAATTATTAATTATAGACATAATAAATTAGATAACAAAAAGTTATACTAAAAATATAATATTATTATATGAAAATTAATATAAAAGAAAAATATTAAAACTATTGAGATAATAAATATCTCTATAAACTAAATACTTAAATGTGTATATTGTGGATTTTATTGTGTTATGCTATGAGAATAGAAGTCTTCAATTTCAAGATATCCAAATTTTTCTCTAAAGAAAGAATAAAAAAAATATGAAAAAAAATTATATTTTTCTTTCAATTTTTTTTTAGCATTTATGATAATACTTTAATTATTTTTTTAAAAAAAATAAAAGTTCAAATAAGAAAAAAATCAAGACAAAATTCTAACACTTATTTCCCTTTGCCATGAGCCCATGACAACTACCTCAAAACTTGTTATTCAATCAAGAGTGGATCTAGGATAATTTTCGAGAGCTTAGGACTAAGTTGTTTCTATTAAATTAAAATATTTGGATATATATTTAACTATTAAGATGTGTATTAAAATTTAAATTATTTTAGTTGAGATTATTTATTTTCTCAACATTTAAATGTATAACTTGTGTCATTATCTAAAAAATAGTAAAAATTAAATTTAAATAAAATATTAAGTCGATCTCAAATAATGTCAATGAAAATTTTATGATTATTGACGGTGATAGCATCGATGATAATTGTGTGCGTTGATTAATGATGGTGATTATGTGTGTTGATTTGTGATAATATTGATTAACAACATTGGTTGTCATAGTATCTTATACTTTTTTTCGTTTCAATTTATATGATAAATTTAGTTTTTCAAGAATCATACAGTTTAAGTTTAACT